TTTGTTTTTAAAAAATGTTATTCTTCTCTACTTTTGCAGAAAACTGTTTTGGTGGAGAGTTCAAATAAAACTGGCACATTGAAAGGTGAATGTGCGGTATGTGGAAATCATGTACATCTGGTCCAGAGACAGCTGGTGGATGGAAAACTCTACCACCGGAGCTGCTTTAAGTGAGTATTCATTGGTGGTGCTTGGGAGCCATAACTATTATTTTGCATAACTATTGATAAGTATTAAACTTTGGCATTTAACTGCACTGTTTAGTCCTTTTATTGCCTTGTAACAGCTACTATAATGAAACGCTATTTTTTTTATTTTTTTTCAATCCCGCTCCTCCCATTTTTTTCAAACAGGTGTAGTGTATGCTATGGCACACTGAAATCTGGGGCATATAAACTGGGAGCAGATGCTGGCTCACTGGTCTGCACTATTCACCAACATGGCCAAAATGGCTTCAAGCCTACAGTTAAGCCTTTTAAGAGCAGTGGCTTTACGCTCGCTGATTTGGTGCCCAAATCTGACAGTGGAGCTCAGCCATCTTCACAGCACTACACCTCTGTATTATCTGCCCCCATCAAAGCTGCGCCCAGACCAGTGGAGCTCAGACCCGCTCCGCAGTCGTGGACCGCCTCTGCTCAGAGGACTCAGGAAGCCAGGCAGAAGTTTTTTCAGTCCGGTGGTCCAGCAGCAGAGCATTGGACCACCACAAGACAGCAGTCAGGCCCCTCAGAGTCCTGCACCAATCAGAACACAAGACTGAAGGAGGAGAAAGACAGAAACAGTGCCCTGACAAATGGAAAACTACTTGAAGGAAACACAAATAACAACAATGCGCTTAATTCTGACCCAGGAGCACAGAGGCAGTGAGTGTCTAACCAATGATTACTGTCATGGTTTACAGCAGGGGCAGCCAGTGTCAGTCCTGGAGAGCCACAGTCCTGCATACTTCAGCTCCAACCCTAATCAAGCACACACAAACCAACTAATCAGGGTCTAAGGGTTACTAGAAAGCTACAGGCAGGTGACTTATCAAGGTTGGGTTAAAACTCTGCAGGACTGTGGTTCTCTAGGACCGACGTTGGCCACCCCTGGTTTACAGTATTATTGATCAGTGATCAACAGTTTCACGGATTGCAAGTTATCTATTGGGCTTTTTGCACCAGAAATTGTAAATTGGAGGGGTTTTTTTCACAGATTTTTAACTGTTCATATGTAAATCAAGTGTGTTAAATGCGTTAATTTCAAAGCGATATTTTTCACCATAATTAATCTAATTAACACGTTAAATTACCAGCCCTAGTTAATAGATTTTAACGATACTTAGTGCAAAATAAATGTTTTTTTTAAATATCACCTTTTTTTTTTGTTTGTTTTACTAGGGGAAAGTTTGTAAATTGAATGTTAAACTGCATTTTCATAATGTGAAGATTACAAAGACTACGAAGGTGATGCTACTTGTTAATAGGGTTATTCGGTACCAAATTTTGATACTTAAGGGGTTAATCTCATCAACGTCCGTGGGCCAATAAGCCTGCAGCACTAGGTGTGCTAGACTAGAAGAGGTGCGGCGCAGATCGATATGTGTTTGACATCCGCGAGAGCGATTTGAAAGCAAAAACGATCCTCGTCATACTGGCATTTACACTGCGTTTCAAGCCGGCTTTTTATCTCCGACAAGCTACAGACCGGAAGTCGTTCATTTCCAGTGGAGAGTAGTGCGCGAGCTGCATGGAGTTCCGATCATATGCAGATGTTCGTTCATACTACACGACCGAAAGTGCGTGCTACGTGGCCATTCATGCACACTGTAGCATCATGCTACATAAGATTTATATTCTTCCGATTGCCGTCTAATGTGTGTTTTGGCCATGTAATGTTGCTGAAATTAAATATGTTATTACCTCTGGGTCAGAGCAGCGATCATGGAAGAGAGAACACAGGAAGACAGCGCTGGAAGCTGCTTATGCTCATCAGTAAATCAGTGGAAAATGAATAGAAATTATGATTCTGTCTGAGCTATGCGTTTTAAAACGAACATGCACTAGTGTAAATGTAGCCTAACAGATGTGTAAACTGAAGACTATTTTAGTTTTATTAAAACTATTTGCACTTAGTTTGCATTTATTGTGTTAGCCTACATGTTGTTCCTTTGTGCAGTGAGTGGCTCAGGAGATGAGTCTTTGAGTTTGTATAAACATCAGCAAGCTGAAAAATAAAGCCATCGTTTTTTAGATAATGTAATCTTTTTAAAATTGATTTCATAAAATTGGTATCGAAAAAAGTATCGTTCAGAAACCGGTATCGAATCAAGGTATCTGTACTGATTGAACATTTTTGAACGATACCCAGCCCTAGCACCACCTAAAGAAAAATCTCTTTTTAAAGCCAAATGAAATATGCTTTTTACATACACTGGTCAATTTGGAGATTTTGGGCTTTTTTGCCTCCATAACATGACTAGTGGAAAGAAAAGTAACAATTACAATACGTTTCTATAAAGGCTGTTTCAAATTTATTTTTTCTCATGCACTGAGCCGAACATTCCCACTTCAGTAGCACTTACATACACCAGACTTTCCATTTTTTTTTACAGAGAGGTTTGTTCACATGTCAGTCCCATTTATTTATATTACATTTTGTTCCTAAAAAAATATGACTGTTACAGCATTTTCTGATTTATGATAAAGTGAAAGGAGGTGTCCAAAACCTCCTCTGTGAAACATTCAACACTTCTATTTCTTCTATTGTCATCATTTGTAAGTGATGACAATAGAATGTAATATGTAATATATGATCATAGTGCGAATGCTTAATGTATTTGATGTTTGTTACCATCTCTCCCAGGCTAAAAATCAGATGCACTTCTGCTGAAGTCTCTAGCTGGAGGCAGGACTTACACGGACGAGTTGCAACAGGAAGGAGCTCATATCAGGCCACTTCAATCAGCCCTGCTATCAGCAGTAGCGGCATGAACTCCAAAGAATCCCTCTACCTCAGTGCCATCAGCAAGGAGCGCAGCAGACCTCCATCCCAGCTGCTTTCTACTGCCAAAGGTGGTGTTCACTCGCAGATGACCTTTGCTTGCATGAATTGTGTTAGTTTTTTTAAAATGCTTTCTAAAGGTCGCATGGGAAATATTACCATAAACATACTCAATAAGTAGGAGCTGAGAATATAGGCAGGAAAGAGGTTAAATTAAGCCACGGGCCAGCATCCATTGTTTTTCATGTAGCCCACAGGAATAAGATTGAATCTGAAGACTGATTTCCACCCTGTAGTATTTTTGTCTTTCTATTTGACAGCATGGCTTCAAATGGCATAATATGAGAATGTGCGGCTTGTGCTTTTTGTTTGCTGTAATTTTCTTCTCTTCTCTCGGCTTCAGCCAAAGATGTTCAGAGCTGCGATGCCCCAACTGACTGGAGATCAAAGCCAAAGGCAGCTCCAAATGGACCAAGACTCAAGTAAGTTCGATCAGCCTAGTTATCCCTAATGCTTTCTAATCCACACGAGGGGAAGCCGGCAGAGTCACTCGGGTGTGAGCTGCAATGACTCTTCAGAGCTGGAGTACTGACAGTGGGGCCTTTCATGTATCCATCCTCTAGCCAGCGGATGCCTCCTGCCTCCCCCATTGTGTTCGACTGCCTCAGAGTGCATCCTCTCACTCTATCCCCAGTCCTCACCAGTCCCAAAGAGTGCTGCGCCTAAACCAACCTCCCCTGAAATGCTATGCTCTTACTTTGAGTTCCTCAGATGATTGTTCTTTTAGCTTTGTTTGCACCTACTGTATATAAGGTGAGGGCCTGCTTACTGTATGTTGGTTTTAAATGATGCTTTTGTGTCTTTTGAAGGTTGTAAATGTGAACTAGAATATACTGTTTTGCAACAAAATGCAGTGTTTCTACTTCAAAATATTATGTTTAATTCAATGTCATTTGCCGTTGCTTTGTAAGTTTGCTAGCAATTTCTGAATGAAAACTGTTTCACCACCAATTTTCAGTGTAGTAAGGTTAGTTTGCTTTTGATAGATCTCCAGATAATGCCAAGGATATCCCGTTGACTTCTGGAAAAAACAAAAGTGACCATTGTTTGACAGCCCAAAATGCTTCAGCCTCCATATCGGACAACTCTTGTTGCTCCATCAATGTTGCCCCGAAACCCAGAAGGGAACAGCAGCAGGGTACCTGTGGTAAGCTGGTCTCATCACTATTAAGAGCAAACTTGTTTCTCAAATGCCAAATGCTGACTGAAGTTTACCCCCCTTTTCACCTACTCCGTTCAAAATTGGACCATGTCCATCACCAGGTTCCTCTGCCCCTCTCCAGCCATTCAGTCCTGTTGTCTTATGTTTGGGAGAGACCTGTGGTGTGCAGGGTAAGTCCAGGCCACATCATCATAAATGCAAATCTTCCCATGATACAACTGATGATCTTATTCTTCTGTCCATAGGTTCTAAACCTGACTGTTGCTTGTCCTCATGTATCTTGCCCTCTCAGTCCTGTCACAAACCTTCATCTCCAAAACAACCTCGCCACTGGTCGGCGTTTTTTTTTTATTATAGTTGGTAAATCACTTCACTTGTATGGAAAACGGAGGCTTGGTCAATCTGCCTAAGCTCTTTATTGAAATAAATATAATTTTTTTTTTTGTGAACTAATTATTTGAAACCTCTTGCATGTTTGTCCACATTTAGCCTTCAGCTTTTCATATACACTAAAAAGCAGTATTTATCACTTTAGGTTACGACAATGGAAATATTTCATCTACAAATGGCTTGCTGCATGAAACAAAGTTGCCTACTGTGAGTTATTGCAAAAGCTTATCTCAGGAATATTTTTCTAAATTAAAGATGTCCTACCCATGGTTTTCATGGTTACATTATTTGACTTTTCAGATGAAGCCTTGCTATGTCACACCAGATCAGATCTCAAAAGAGTTGCAGGACATTGAGAACAAGCTGTACGATCTGGAGAACGAAGGGGTGGAGTTGGAGAGGAGGCTTCGCATTTATGAAGAAGGTTTGAGATTAGATGTTAGAGTAGTTAATGTAATAGCAGCATTCCATATTTCTCCAAGTTGAAGTCTGAATTGAATTTTAAAGGTCCAAAATTATTTTCAAAGTTGTTTAGGACAAAAGCTTGTTGGGACATCAGATGTTCCTTTAGTTGCAATTCGAGATCCATTTGGAGGTTTTTTTTTTTATTTTATTTTTTTATGTATTTTTTTTTTAAGACCGCATGTAGCAGCCCCGTATATGTGTGTGTGGTTCATTGAGTTCCGTGATTCGTGCACTCATTCCAAACCTGTTAGCTGAGCCCATCCACCTGGGAGTCGGAATTCGGATGTAGCCTTTAGGGGAAGACTGTGGCCAATAAAGGGCTCTCGATTCCAGCTGCCAGGGCCAAATGAGGCGAGGTGCAGGGGAAGCCCCCTCTCCTCCTGAGGGATGCTGGGATGGAAATGGAGAAGCGGCGGTGGGCTGCAATGAGAGGCTGCTAGCTGAATGGGGCAAGGGCACTTGATTGGCTCTTTTCAAGGTCACCATGGCACAGTAATATCATCTCCAGACTCGCTGCTCCAGTCACCTGCCCTGATGCTAGCAGCCGGTGGGATTTCATAGAACCTGACTGCCTCTCGGTCCCACCAAAGCCGAAACCACCACTTGATCAAATTAAGTTTGTGTGTGCGCGCGTGTGAATGTACTTGTATGTGTTTTTTTAATTTTTTTGTTTTTTTTTGTACCACCTCAAGGCAATGTCAATGGAAAACATGCTTTTTAGACCGCATTACAGTGCTCTATTAGGAGACAAATAGAATTCAATCATAGCTCAAATAGAAGTTGAATGTGAGTGTTTGGAGATGCCCGTCTCCAGAGCACTTTAAATTGTGGCTCGAGGTGGAGTGTCTCTTATGGATGGGGCAGTTAGGACCTTGGTGTCCTTGGTGACATTGGACTGTTTTACAGAGGGTCATGGGGACCTGCTGATGGATCCCTTGATGGTGGACTGGTTTAACCTGATTCGGAAAAAACAAAGCTACATACGGAGGGAATCAGAGTTGATGTACATGTAAGTGATCCCCATACTCCGCAACTACTGTTTCTCTCTTTTGTCTAGCTGCTATTTCTGGATGCAAACATTTTCAGAATGCTTAAAGGGATAGTTCACCCAAATATGAAAATTCTGTCATTTAATTACTCCGCCTTATGTCGTTCCAAACCCGTAAGACCTCCATTCATCTTCGGAAAACAAATTAAGATATTTTTGATGAAATCCAAGAGCTCTCTGACCCTCCCGTAGACAGCAATGTAATTACCACGATCAAGGTCCAGAAACGTAGAAAGGACATCGTTAAAATCCATGTGACATCAGGGCTTCAACCGTAATTTTACAAAGCTATGAGAGTACTTTTTGTGCACAAAGAAAACAACGCGGAGGAGACAAATTGTTGAATAAAGTCATTATTTTTGTTTTCTTTGCATACAAAAAGTATTCTCGTAGCTTCGTATAATTACGGTTGAACCCCTGATGTCACATGGATTATTTTACAGATCTCCTTGCTACGTTTCTGGGTCTTGAACGTGGTAGTTCCCTTGCTGTCTATGGGAGGGTCAGAGAGCTCTGGGAATTCATCAAAAATATCTTAATTTGTGTTCCGAAGATGAACAAAGGTCTTACGGTTTTAGAACAACATGAGGGTGAGTAATTAATGACAGAATTTTCATTTTTGGGTGAACTATTACTTTAATATTAAAACAAAATGTGCAATGGAGAAAAATAGCCATTGTACCTAGATGTTCGCTCTTAAACCAGTCCTTACAGCAGTCTCAATCTTTTTCAGAGCAAGAACACAAGATCTGGAGGAGCAGCAGCCTGGAGTCGAAGGAGAGCTCAGGAGATTGATCAATAAACCAGGTAAAAATTAGCCAGGGTAACTAGTGTAATATCAATATCGCTCCCCTTTTTTCCCATTAGAAATAGACAGATCGTAACTTCCAGTCAGGTGTGTTGAGGCAAGTTGGAGCTAAACTCTGCAGGACACCGGCCCTCCAGGACCGAGTTTGGACAGCCCTGTTTTAGAGGAAGTGATCAATAGCTGTTTCCTGTTTTTATGCGCATTTTGAAGTATCGCGTAAGAAACAAGTGATGGAGATGCCAAATTTCGAATGAAAATCCCTTAATTTGCTAAAAATTTTACACCCGCTTAAGGTGGTTTTTGACTTGTGTGAAAAGAGTTCATGCAAAGAATGGGACATTGAAATGCATTTGCCAAATGTGACTTTGCGCTATGGGAGGGCATAACCTGACTAACCAGCGGACCGATCTCGTTGCACAGCATCTGAAATGTTATGGTCATTCTGAAATGCCTTAGCAAAGTCTGTCGTCAAAGTACTTTATAATTGCCTCCCTCTGAAAGCATTGACCGCATTTGTTTCGTCTGCAAAGTAATTTATTATAGCCTAAAAAACTTTAATTCTACAAATTGCAATAAGAAGCTTTTTGTTTTTGCCTTGTGGGGTGTATCTTTACTCTTTTGGTTGCTATGGTAAGTCTGCATTTAGAAATTGGCACCAATTATAAATTAAGCTTATTCTTAGATCTCTTGTGACGCATGGAAGCAATTCTCAGATTGTCCGTGCTTCAAATCATCAGTAATGATTTTAATAATTAGGCATTGTGATTTAACAGGATGTGTGAAGTGGTGCAAAGTGAAATTTAAAAATTTGAGTCCTATTCTATAATAAAGGGTAAATGTAATCGAGGTATTAGTTCATTTTGCACTTGTACTCTTTATAACAGCTGAGGAGAAGCCATAAAATGTGTGTGTTTGCATATTAGAACATGTAAAGACTTTGGATGAGAAAAAGAGGGAAACCGAGCTATTGAACAGACTGATGAAGATAGTGAATGACAGGAATGCCATTGTTGAAGGGCTGGAGGAGGACAGGATAAGGTAAGTCCTGAGGAAACCACACCACCTTTCACTCTCCATGACAAATGCCATACTTTTAAATGTGGTCAATTTTCACTTGCATGCAAAATTTGTGAAAACACATTTGTGAATGTAATATGTCACATTTTAAGGGAGGAGGAGGAAGATCAACAGTTGAATGAGATGATGCAAAGACTGGGTGAGAACTTCTTGTTCTTGTCATTTTTATCTTGTTCTTTGCTGCTTCAAGCTGAGAGTAGACTTGACATTTTTAACTTTTAACATTCCTTCGAACTGTCTGTTTTTTTGTTTGTTTTTTTTTCTTGATGCAGGTCTTCCGAAGTTTAAAAACAAATGCAAGTCGTCCTTCTCAAAGTTATTTAGACGGAGAAGTAAAAAAGCTTCAATGGGATGGTGAACTTGAGAGCTGCTGGAGTGAAGTGATCCAGAAGTTCTGCTGTAGCCTGTTGAAGTCCAGATTTCTCCAGGTCACATTAGATGGTTTAAAACTAAGTGGGATTAGTATAACAATTATGCCAGGTGATTCAGTGAGTTGGAGTTCTTGGAGCAAAATAATGTTCCGTTTAAACACTTTTCTTTTGTAGTTATTTTCACTTCTTATTTGATTTAAGCTAATACTAGTTCTGTTCATTTGCTTTAAGTTTTCAACATATTGGTCCTATATGCTTCTTTTGCCTTTTCTTTAAATGCGTGGGCTAGTTTGAATAATTATTGTTCAAAAATATTTCTTTTATTGTCGTCTTCCACCCCCTCACTTGTTCAGACATAAACCGTAACTTATATTAGCAGATAAACAAACAGATGCCCAAGGCTGGCTGAAACACGCTACTTGACTGTGATCCAAAAATCTGTGTAGAATCTTAATTTAACCCTAACCCCCTAAAAAAAATATTGACCTGCTAAATCTAGAGGTCTTGAAGACGCAGTGCTTGCAGTGACCTGAAGGGGGCACTATGAGCTCACATGCATTTGCACAGGCAGAGTTTTCCTGTTCTTATTTTATATTCCTGAGAATGCTAAATCAAGCTGGAGATTAGATGGCAGAGGATCTTGTGTGCTGGAAAGGCATGGATTATTGGTTTTATTCTCTTTTTAAGCCCTCTAACCTAGTTCAATTAAAAGTGTCCCTCATTTAACTTTATCTAAGAAATATAGTCTGACCAAAGGTGTCTTTTACTTGGTGTTTAAATATGACTTAACTGTTTGAAAAACCTACAGAATGAATGTTTTAAGAAGTTTTAAAACTTCTCTTGAGAGATGCTTACAAATGGATGTGCTTATTTATTGTATAGCCTATTTGACTTTTAAAATGAGTTCTTTAATAAATCTTAATGAAGTTTCTTATATGTGCCCTAAACTATTCCAGAGCTTTATTGTAGTTTTATTTACATCAGCTGTCTTCATGCTCTATTCTCTCAGATGCCTGCATGTGAATTGTGAAGCCCAAAAACGTTAAATGGAAAAGCCCATTTATGCCGAAATGGTCACAATAACCGAAATGCCCGGTTTATCCCAAACTTCCAGTCGGTTTCCTTCTCGTTCGCAGCTCGTAATTGTTGTCCCCATCATCGCTCGTGCTGTAAAACGGCCGTTTACACAGCCACCATTTAATATGGGTTTTAGTAAAATGCGTTAAGATAATTTACTCATTTAATATCATGCCACTGCTTACAGGCCATCCATCCCCAATTTAAGATGCATGAAATTGTGATCATGAACTTGGAACACCGTCTCTCTCTAGCCGAGGAGGATATTGGTGCAGAACGCCACGCGTGATGCGGGTGACAGTCGAGACTGAATACGTGTGATATTAGAGTTAATTAAAGCTTTGCGCCCCATCTCCTGCAAATGCTCGCACTCCTGCAATTAAGAATCAAAGGCGAGGGCTTAGTGTCAGGGGGGTGTCTAATACATGGTTTTAACAGGAATGGGACCTGATTTGCCCAGCTCCTAGCGACAAGCATTAACAACAGCCCCAAATTAGGCAGACATTAATATTCATAAGTAAAACAATTCGTCCTGTGAATGGCTGATGAAATGAAATTCTCTGGCGTCCACGCCGCCCGTGGCCATCAAAAGATGCCATTACTGATCAAGTGCTTAATGTATGTGAGCCATCTAATGAAATTGAAGGGATAAAGGATGGTGGGGTTCGACTTGTTTGGTATTTCAAAACCTCAAATGCACCCTCGCTAACCTCACGCATGTGCGCGCTTGTCTATCTTTCGGTACATAACTGAATGGCATTTACATATTTGCTTGATCAAGGCCAGCTAAGCGCAGGGCACACAATGGATTTGAAAATGGAGTGTTTTTTTTGTGGGTGTTTTCAGTGGAAAGTGCGCTAATGTGACGCACATGGGTGGCGTCGCAAGCTTTCAGTGTAATGCAACGCGGTTTAATTGTTTAATTAAAAGCATACATTACACACTTATCTGACGTGCGGTTTGTTATAAAGGTCAAACTCTGCTTGTCCAGTGGCGGCCACTGTGCTGAGCTGTTTGTTCTCTTCCTGTAGGTGTGTGTGTGTGTGCACGCGAGTGTTGCAGATATGGTGCTAGCGCTTCTGCCACTAGCCTGTAATTATGATCCTCAAGGTAATTTTATCAGCCTCATTAGCTCTGATGAGTAAACGAGAAGCGTGCTTCTAATTTATTAGCCATCCAGACTGGAGCCCTGGCTCTCATCAGACGGATCATAATATTTGTATAGGGGAGCTGATGTATTCAGTGTATCATCCGGCCTCAGGAAAGATTTGGAATTAGTAATTGCATTCTAAATGCTGGCCCTGCTTGGATAGCTCCGTTTGGTCTAGAGCAGTGGTTCTCAACCTTTTTGACTCGAAGGCCCCCTTTAAGGTTTTTTTAGTACTGCTTCTGTATTGGCAAGGCTGCTTTTTATTAGACTTTTTAAAAACATCGTATTAGTGGCCATATATTAAAATATTTTTTTACATTTCCAAGTCCAGAGGTTATAATGCTCTTCATAGTTTACAATGGTTTTTCTAGTCCTTTTGCAATTGAGTTTAAATTATTTAACTCCCAAATAGCAATTTCCCCAATCAAATTAGTTTAGAGCTTGACATAACTAGAAGAATTGGTAACACTTTACGATAAGGTTCCATTTCTTAACATTAAGGGCTTTTTTGTTTGTTTTAAATTAAGATTAATAAAACCTTTAATTGTTAATTCATGTTCATTTAGCTAATGCTTATGTTGATTTCAGCATTTAATACGTTATTGAAATCAAAAGTTGCATCTGTTAATTTAATAGACCTGAGCTGACATGAACAATAAATGGTTGTATTTTTATTCATTAAGTTAGCAAAGATAAATAATGTAACAAATGTTGATTATTTATTAAATTAATTTAATTAATTGAATTTAATTATTAATTTTTGTATGCTTTCGAGCCGTGTCGTGCTCGTTCAGCGGCCTCGTTTTGCTTCGACGGCTTTCCGCCTCACTCTGCTTCATACTACGACGTTAATAAATCTTTAATACATTCGCTCATCCATGAACATGATTTCTGCCCGAGTCCCGTCGGATTGCGTCGGCTGTGGGGATGAAGACGACAACTCCCATGATTCCACACTCAGTCACAGCGTCATCAAACTATGCCTTTGTTTCTTTTTGTTTTGAATACGCACCCTCTAGTGGCTAAAAATGACATTGTGCCTTTTAAGTGAATTCATTAAAATAAGAAATCCATGAGCTTACGTGTTGATGTATAGCTTATTTTAAATCTTTTGTAGTCTTTTAAGCCATTTTGTGGTGTGCTGAGGCCCCCTAGTGGGTCCCGGACCCTCATTGAAAACTAAACTGATTTCCACTGATGTACTTGTGCCCTACCCAACCCTCCCAATTTTGATGTTTTCTTTTAGAAAATGTGTATATAAAAAGCTGCTCTTCTGATCACACCGTAAACTCCAATTACCCACCCTGAAATTATTTTTTGCAGGGAAAATATTTAGTCTCTGTGTCATTGGGTGTGTTTAAAGAGAGGGGGTAATGTGCTCACAATTTCACTGCGAACATTTGCATTGAGGGGAAAATATGCACGCTGGCTACCGGGAATGAGATGGAAAGTGCATGACTAGGAGACTTGACAAGTGCAGTTTTTCATCCATCTCAAATGAATAATTTTCCCTTCCCTTAAACATCCCTAATCCAAGCATGTTATCAGCGCCAATGCAGGATTCTGCCCGACTCTGCTCAGCGGCAAGGCAACTTTTGCTTCTTTACACGTTCGGAAGAGCTCCCACTCCTTACACTGGCACAGAGACCCGCCGCTTTATCCTTTCGGCTGGTTTTGTGGATCAGTGGAACGGGCCCCACAACAGAAGTGATACATATGGAAACTCTTCACAAATGCCAAAGTCTCTTTTCACCCACAATCTGAGCTGGCTCACTAGATGTCCTGCATTGGCACACAACTCCTGACAGAGATATCACAGCGCTGCGCTGAACAGAAAAAGTGTCATTTCATCTTGTATCACATGTTCAGCAAATGCAAGAACATGTTCGGCATCTGCGTTTTGACGTGGGCCTGTTAAGGCCCTGATGCTTTTTTTTTTTTTTTAATTTCTCAGAATTTCAAATGAATATTTTTAGCTTTCCAGTAAGCAGCTGGAATCCGTTGAAGTGCATTAAGTTCAAGATCTCAGCATGGGTGCTCTTTCCTGTGACGCTTTGCGGTGAACAAATGCTTTGATGCTGTACAATTGAATTGCTGTTGAGATCCCATGGCAAGATCTGTGATGGGTAATGAGATGGTTGACGTTTTTAATAACCACAACGCTCACTGCACGTTAACCTCGTTTCCAGGTAACTTTCGGATGCCACAACATCTCATCTTAAAACGCTAGAGGAAGCTTCTAATTTGTCATTTAGTGACATTTTAAGCCTTTTAACTGAACCCAGACAGGGATTTACAGTTCCCTCCCAAGAAAAAATAATTTTGTTCTCTTCGTAGGAAAATGAGGGGAGAGATTAATGGTGAACATGCTGTGTTGGAAGTAAGATAATTTTATGCACATTTCAATGCTTAAAGGGGTCATATGATGTTGCTAAAAAGAACATTATGTTGTGTATTTGGTGTAATGAAATGTTTATGCGGTTTAAGGTTCAAAAAACATTATTTTCCACATACTGTACATTATTGTTTCTCCTCTATGCCCCGCCTTTCTGAAACGTGTCGATTTTTACAAAGCTCATCGTTCTGAAAAGCGAGGTGTGCTGTGATTGGTCAGCTATCCAGTGCGTTATGATTGGCCGAATTCCTCAAGCGTGTGACGGAAATGTTACGCCCCTACCACACTGTGATGCCCTGTCCCGGTGCGACGAGACAAAAACAATAAAACCCATTATAAACGAGGCATTTGTTGCATCCAGTGAGGACATAATTACGGATTATAATGACTTGTACTATCTTTTTACGCGTTGCATTGCATCGCGCCGTGTAAACATAACCATGTCTGCATTTGTGATCGGAGAAATGACAAACATCAAGTGTTACTCTACACTGCTCATAACTCGTGTTTGAATCGTCAGTGGAAAATCCTTTAAATATGAAAACATACTTGCAGTCTGTGAGTCAGAACAGCCGGCATTGTAGTCTACTCTACCAGGATCAGGAAACAGTCCTCCATAAAATGTGCTGCACACATCTGAATATTTGGGTTGAAGTGTTCTTGAACAGTGTTGTAAATACAACTTAACCACTGATTTCTAGTCGTGTCCTCTTTTGGAAGACCAAACTAAGTAGTTTCACTTTCACAACGAAACACACAGTGTCTTCACAACATGGCGGCGGTGGCAGCAACAAAGTTACGCCTTTTTTTTGCGTGAACATTTGGGCGGCGTTATGCAAATCTTCCCGCACAGTGATGTAGACATGTGGGGGCGTGTTCGAACGAGGTGTTTTAGGAGGGCGTGGACCAGTGTTAACTTTTATAAAGAATATCTCTTTGGGTTTGAGACTTTAGTCTTTGCAACTTTATGGATCTTACCTATTCACAAACCGTTTATAACAAGAAAGGAAAACTTGAAATCGCATCATATGATCCCTTTAAGGTATATAATTTTAAGCACAAACTAAAAGTCTTGTGGTGTCTAGTTGTATGGAGTAACATTGCATTATGCTACCAAATGGCTTTTCGTTACTGCAAAAATTCGTATTTTTTTGTCTCTGTCTGGCTTTTTTTGTTTTAATACGATTTATTTTACAAACACGTTGTTGTTGTTGTTGTTGTTGTTGTTGTTGTTGTTGTTGTTGTTTTAGCAACCTGCAATTTTATTAATAGTGTTATTACAGAAATTGTAAAAAATGCAGTACAGTAGAAGTCTTTGGGACAAGTGTATAAGAATTGCTTATAAATTGTATATGTATTCCGCAGATGTTCAAATTGAACTCAAATTTGACTCTTCCGTGTTGTTACCATTAGCTTTTAGACGAAATGGTCTTTTGAATCATGAAAAATATTCATTGAGTCAGGTTTGTCCAGATGTTTCACTGGTGCCATATTAAAATGATCTATTAAGTGATAATCACAATTTTGTTACAGATGTATAATAAAAACATCAGTTCAGGAGAGAAATCTGCATGAAATGAATCCAGTGTTGTAAATACAACTTAACCACTGATTTCTAGTCGTGTCCTCTTTTGGAAGACCAAACTAAGTAGTTTCACTTTCACAACGAAACACACAGTGTCTTCACAACATGGCGGCGGTGGCAGCAACAAAGTTACGCCTTTTTTTTGCGTGAACATTTGGGCGGCGTTATGCAAATCTTCCCGCACAGTGATGTAGACATGTGGGGGCGTGTTCGAACGAGGTGTTTTAGGAGGGCGTGGACCAGTGTTAACTTTTATAAAGAATATCTCTTTGGGTTTGAGACTTTAGTCTTTGCAACTTTATGGATCTTACCTATTCACAAACCGTTTATAACAAGAAAGGAAAACTTGAAATCGCATCATATGATCCCTTTA